AATCAAGCCAGTAGAAATCCCTAAGTGAAAATGCATATTGAAAATTAGACTCTCAAAGATACAAAATTAATAACAAAAGCTCAAAAAGCAAAAGTTAAAAACCTAAAGTAAAAATTAGGCTCCCAAAAGTACAATATACAAAAAGCCAGAGTCAAACATAAAAATAAAGAATGTGTAATTTATTTAAAAAGTAAGTTTTTTTTAAAGAAAGATATAAGTAGGCTATTTTAAAAAAAGTTAAAGGAGTACTAAAGAAGCATATTAGGACAGTATGAGGGAAAAAGGAAAAAGTGAAGCAAGGGGAAAAAAGAGGGGAAAAAGATAAAATAATATTTAAAAAATAATAAAAACTTAAAAAATAATAACAAGAAAAACGTATCTAGAAATGTCTCTGGAGCTGTTGTGGGTAGTGTGGGGTCAGTTCAGTGTCAGATATTCCCTCGTTCCAGCTTGTACTTGTTCTCAAAGTCTGCGGTTGCCCCTCAGATGCACCGTCACAGCTTAGCTGCAGGATTTTAATCTGTTGCACCTGCCAGCTCTGGAGCAGTTCCCCCTGCTTTTCATTGCTTAGGCTGGCCTCCTCTGTTTGCAGGCCTCTCTTCAGTGCCAGATTTCTGCCCTGACGAGAGGGTAAAAGTGGCCACTAATGTGGGCTCGCTTGCTCAGCTGTGCTTTGGAGGGGAGGGACGCTACAAACAAAACACACTGGCCTGTGTGGGGAGCACTTGCAGTGGATGGGCCACTCGGGGGTCGCCACAGCCCCAGGCAGCATGCGCCTCCCAAGTCCAAGCTGCTCAGGCTCATGGGGGCACCGCGAGGGCACAGTCCCTGGTGGGCTGTGCATTTCCTCAGGGGAGTTGGTCTCAGGCTATGACACCGCTGGCAGATATGAACCATCCAGGACCCCAGGAAGACGTGGTGAGCGGTTGGCAGCCTGCTCAGTGCTTGGTGGGAAGTATGGTCCCTGGTACTGAGATTGCAGTGGCCCTTTGCCTTTCACCTCTGGCTGTCCTGCACCTGTCTCTCTGCCTCCAGGAAGAGCCACAAACAGCAGCTCTCCTTTGCTATTTGTGAGGGTGTGACCCTTTGTTCTGTGAGTGCCCCAGGGGTCACGGTGCAGCATTAGAGCCTTCCCGAGGGAAAGGTCCTTTTTTTTTCTTTGTTCCTCTGGCATTCCCACAGTTTGGGGTTCCCCATTCTGTCTGTGCTGTGTCACGTTGGTCCCCTCATTGAGTCCTCATGGTGTTCAACCCCTGTCTTCTCCCCAAGGCCCGACCGTGCAGCACGTACCTCTGCACCCAGCCCCACTCATGGTGGGGTTGCGAGCATGGGAGCTGCTTCTTGGCTGGTAATTGCCTTTCTGCAGGATTTCTGTGGTGAGTTTTTTATGCTGCTTCTGAGATTCCAAAGCTCCCACTGATCTCCCCACTGAGACGGCTTCCTATTGTGTGGAAACTTCTCGAATTCCTCCCTAGGACAAGTCTCCATCCTGAAATCCTTCGTCTCCCTTTTCATCTTTATCCTTTGTGCCACATAATTTCAGAGAAATTGGTATCTGGGGTCCTCTGCCAGCATTCAGAAGTTGTTCTGTGGAGGTTGCTCCATGCGCAGGTGACCTTTTAATGTATCTGTCGGGGAGAGAGTGGTCTCCCCCTCCTACTCTTCTGCCATCCTGGGACCACTCCCCTCTAGCTTTGTTTGTAGTGATGCTTCCTAGGGCCCACTTGACTTCACACTCCGGGATATCTGGCTCTAAGTGAGTGACTACACCACCATAGTTTTCTGGGTCATTAACACCTTTCTGGTACAGTTCTGCTGTGTATTCTTGCTACCTCCTCTTAATCTCTTCTGCTTCTGTTAGGTCTTTAGCATTTCTGTCCTTTATTGTGCCCATCCTTGCATGAAATCTTCTCTCGATATCTCCGATTTCATCGATGAGATCCCTAGTCTTTCCCATTCTGTTATTTTCCTCTCTTTCTTTGCATCATTCATTTAAGAATCTAGTACGCAGATCTAATCCCTTGAATCTATTTGTCACCTCCACTGTATAATCATAAGGGATTTGATTTAGGTAATACCTGAATGGTCTAGTGTTTTTCCCTACTTTCTTTAGTTTAAGCCTGAATTTTCCAGTAAGGAGCTTATAATGTGAGCTAGGTAAGAGCTAAAATTTAGTAGTATTTCAGTAGGTAAACATTCTGTTACTAACTTTGTTCATAGTAATGCTTCTTAAGACCCACTTCACACTCCAAGATGTCTGGCTCTAAGTGAGTGACCACACCACTGTGGTTATCTGGGTCATAAAGACCTTTTTTGTATAGTTCTTCCACATGTTCTTTCTACCCTTTCTTAATCTCTTCTGCTTCTGTTAAGTTGTTACTGTAACATTTTATAGGAGGCAGTGACCAGAACCATCCAAAAGACAAAATAATGCCAGAAAGGAAAAGTTCAGTTCAGTCACTCAGTCGTGTCCGACTCTGTGACTCCATGGACTGCAGAAGCCAGGCCTCCCTGTCCATCACCACCTCTCGGGGTTTACTCAAACTCATGTCCATCGAGTCGGTGATGCCATCCAGCCATCTCATCCTCTGTCGTCCCCTTTTCCCCCTGCCTACAATCTTTCCCAGCATTAGGGTCTTTTCAAATGAGTCAGCTCTTTGTATCAGATGGCCGAAGTATTGCGTTATCAGCTTCAGCATCAGTCCTTCCAATGAACACTCAGGACTGATCTTTAGGATGGACTGGTTGGATCTCCTTGCAGTCCAAGGGACTCTCAAGAGCCTTCTCCAACACCACAGTTCAAGAGCATCAATTCTTCGGCGCTCAGCTCTCTTTATAGTCCAACTCTTACATCCATACATGACTACTGGAAAAACCATAGCCTTGACTAGACGGAACTTTGTTGGCAAAGTAATATCTCTGCTTTTTAATATGCTGTCTAGGTTGGTCATAACTTTTCTTCTAAGGAGCAATCGTCTTTTAATTTCATGGCTGCAGTCACCATCTGCAGTGATTTTGGAGCCCAAAAAAATAAAGTCAGCCACTGTTTGCCCATCTATTTGCCATGAAGTGATGGGACCGGATGCCATGATCTTAGTTTTCTGAATGTTGAGCTTTAAGCCAACCTTTTCACTCTCCTCTCACTTTCATCAAGAGGCTCTTTAGTTCTTCTTCACTTTCTGCCATAAGGGTAGTGTCATCTGCATATCTGAGGTTGTTGATATTTCTCCCAGCAATCTTGATTCCAGCTTGTGCTTCATTCAGCCCAGCATTTCTCATGATGTACTCTGCATATAAGTTAAATAAGCAGGGTGACAATATACAGCCTTGATGTACTCCTTTCCCGATTTGGAACCAGTCTGTTGTTCCATGTTTAGTTCTAACTGTTGCTTCCTGACCTGCATACGGGTTTCTCAAGAGGCAGGTCAGGTGGTCTGGTATTCCCATCTCTTTCAGAATTTTCCACAGTTTATTGTGATCCACACAGTCAAAGGCTTTGGCATAGTCAATAAAGCAGAAATAGATGTTTTTCTGGAACACTCTTGCTTTTTCGATGATCCAACGGATGTTGGCAATTTGATCTCTGGTTCCTCTGCCTTTCCTAAAACCAGCTTGAACATCTGGAATTTTCGCGATTCACATATTGCCGAAGCCTGGCTTAGAGAATTTTGAGCATTACTTTACTAGCGTGTGAGATGAGTGCAGTTGTGCAGTAGTTTGAGCATTCTTTGCATTGCCTTTCTTCAATTTAAGTCTGAATTTGGCAACAAGGAGTTCATGATCTGACCCACAGTCAGCTCCGTCTTGGGTGGCCCTACACGGCATGGCTTAGTTTCAGTGAGTTAGACAAGACTGTGGTCCATGTGATCAGATTGGCTAGTTGTCTGTGATCGTGGTTTCAGTCTGTCTGCCCTCTGATGCCCTCTCAGCGCCTGCCATCTTACTGGGGTTTCTCTTACCTTGGACGTGGGGTAGCTTCTCACGGCTGCTCCAGCTCTGCACAGCCACCGCTTGCTGCAGGTGGTCATCTGAAAAACCAATGGTTGTCTGGGATTTACCTACGAAAATACTACTAAATTTTAGCTGTTATCTGCTTTCACAGTTACTTTATCAAGTGTGATTTTTAAAGTCTTATTATTTGTTAAGAGTCAGAAATAGCACTAATCTTATAGCAGTACCAGCTAGTGAACTTCAACAATATCCTGTCTTGTTGGCAGAAAGGGAATGGTTCAATCCAATTTTCTTAAGCTCTTATGAGCTTTCACTGCTTAAAGACAAGTTGAGCCCAAGACACATTGAGCCCAAGAAGATCTTCCCTCACCAGTATATATAAATTCTGTTAAAAATTTCACTTTCGTTTTCCAATTCTTACTCAGTGAGCTTCTCAGAATAGAGAACTTGACTGTGAAGGTAAGGGATGGGAAAATGCAAAGATGTGTTCCAGGTAGACTTGCTTGTGTAAAAGGATAATGTAATTGGAGACTTTAAAGCAAGCTGATCCTGGCTTCTAGGACAAAGCCCTCCCCTTCACTCCAGGTGTTCCTGAACTCTCACCTGCATGCCCTCTCCCCCCGCCTCTGTCGCCGTGTCTCACACACTATCTCCCCTGTCTTTAGGACTCCTTGACTGTGTAAGTTTGAAAAACACTGAAGAAGCCCCAGTACTACTTTCACCTCCACTCTTTTCCTTTCTTACACATAAGGAGCTAGAGATTTCAGTTTCTAGATTTCTATATAAAGATTTTAAAGAAAAGTGTCTCATGGAAACCAGTGTTTTCAAGAATTCAGGGGTATCCTTAAAGTGCCCCCAAATTATTTCACACATTTTTTATTTTATCCTTTTCTCCTTAGATACGAACAGTTAAAATGATTTATGAATTATTTCTTATATAAATTACTGTTTTCTCCTTTTGCTTAGCTTAAAAAAAAAAAAAACTGGACAGTTACTTTGGTACTTTGTGAGAGAATTTCCCATGTATTCATATTGTTTTTGTGTCATAGGAAGGAAAATCCCCTCGGCAGTGTCTGAAGGAAGGAAACTGCAAAGCTTTGAAATACTCATTTTTTGAGTGTAAGAGATCAATGGTAAGTGCCTAAAGATTTTTAAAAGCTTATGCTCAAAATTAGCTCTGTGGATTTAAATATGTGAGTGACTTAGTAATTATAAATAGGTTGCAGTGATGTCACTTGGAAAAAAAAGATGTATTTTTTCTCACCCAGTGAATTAATGTGAGGTTCATGGAAACCCACAGCTGATTGCTCTGTTATGCTGACCACAGCAGCTGAACTTCATAAATTTCTTAAAAAAGAGTTAAGACCATGGTCCTGGCAAGTACAAATGGAAAAAAAGTTGATGTTGGTCACTGTGTATTTGGGTCATTTGGCAGTTGCACAGCCATAATGTGGGGGTCTAGAGTGTGTGCCCCATGCCTTACATGTGGATGTGATTAGAAAAAATGTTGGCACCTGTGTTTGAGTCTGTAGTGATGAACTGTGGAGAAACAGCCTCAAGGACATTACAAATCTCATGGTTTCTACTCTAGTGTTCTTTGATTCAAAGATCTACAAAGGAATAGAAACCAGGAGCTTTGTCTTTGTGAAAAGAAAATAAGAAATCACAAAAATGAACATCCCTTTAAAAACAGCAGTAACTTTAACTTGAACATGCTCTCGATTGGTCAGCAGCACTTAAATCCCTTTCCTTTTGTTGATAGGAGAAGCAGAGCACATAGGATACTATAATCTGGGAGGCTGGAGAAAAACTTTGCTAACTAATAAGATCCAGGGAGGTGTAGAGTGAGATTAAATTTGGCAATGCTTTCTCAAGTGATACAGTTCTTTGCCATATTTTCCTGTCATTTAATGTAGTAAAAGAGGATTTTCTTGCCTTCTCCCACACAGTTTTGTTACCCTTGTAAAATGCAAGCCTTTAGACCTTGCAAGAATGTTAAATCATGTTTATATAATTGAGAAGTCATAAAGAACAGTTAGTGTAGGAGGCGATGAGGTGTCCTTATAATCATAATGACTGGATTTGTAATAAACTCCCTGTTAATTCCCATCCTGAAGCTCAGGCTTTGATCTCCAAAGAACATTAAGAAATCAGAACATGTAAAACTTTTCCACAGTTTATCTGCCTTCTGCAGACATGTGTAATAATCTTAAGTAAAAAGTAAACATGCTTCTGACCATTTCTAAATATCAGTACAAGGCAGAACTTCACTCACACTTTGACTTCAGAAAGAGCAGTATTGGGAACTTTTTAGCAGATTTAAGAGATCCTTGCAACCTTTCTTCAAGACTAGGACTTACTGTTAGTCCTCTAGTGTGAGGAACTAACTGTTGCAACTTCAGTTGGCAAAAACCTGAAATAAAATGATTTAAATTGTGCTGTAATTTTGCTTAATATTTCAAACAGTGGGTATGTAACTCAGAGTGAAGGTGAGATGGTAGGTTTGAATCGGCTGTGCCCTCTTAATAAATAGCATCTCATCATCCTTGATCATGATTCCCCTGTTTGAAGATTACTTACTTTTTGAAAATGTGGCTCTTAGCTACTGTATCTAGTGCTCAGATGAAGAAATAGTGGTCTGTCCCACACTGGCTGTGTTGTCCTCATTAATAGAGTTTAGCTCTAAACTAATTCATTCCTCTGGGATTTCTGTGGAATGGTATTGACTGTGCAGTTTTGCCTTCTGTACTGACTAGGACTCTCCATCCTGTGGCACCACTTAAGAAGTGGCTGTACTGTGAGGCTTAAGTCAGAGAATATGCAGTTGACTGATGAGTAGTAATTTAAGGATTTGTAATCTCAGAATGGCTGTGTTACATATATTTCAAGGCTCTTTCCTCAGTTACTATTTAAAGACTCTAAAAACACTTGAATATCATCTGAAATAAAGCTTAATTAGAAAGTCAGCTTTGTTAGAAGAATAATGTATATTGAGTGTACTCCAGAAAAAAAGATGAATGTAAGTTGGACTCAAGAAGAAAATTCTTACTGTGACCGTAAATGGAACTTCTGTTTTTAATGCCATCTTTCCCTGTTATTTTTTTTCCTGCCCCGAGCTGTGACAGTTGCCTTTTTGATATGCTGGAAGCTGGTTTACTCCTCTCATGTAGTGACACCTGTTACCAAAACTGTGTTTGATTATGGTGTCCAAATTATGATTTACTTGTGTATTTATTTTCAGTTGGATGCCAGATCAAGATTCAGGGGAAGAAAAGGATATTGATACTACTATGTTGAAACCAAGATGAAAACAACAAAGGACTCTGGTCATTAAACCAGAGAAGCCAAAATAAGAAACATACTTTTTGTTACATCTGTTCAGGTGGACCAGTTTTTTCCTCCATGAAACAAGAAAATGGATGAGTTCTGGTTTTCAGTAGGTATAAATGATTCTCTTGCTCTAAGTTATTCTTAGAATAAAAATTTAATTGAAAAGTTGTGAGCTGAGAACATAATAGATGTGTTTTAAGAACTGTTCTGAAGCACAGGGAATGGGAAGATTGTTAGTTTCCACTGACTTCTCAACCAGATGACACAATTTGTGCATCCTTTGTCAGTACTATGGAGGCCAGGGGTGGGACTGTGAGAATCAGCATGCAGCCTGATGAGAAAATATCCGTCTGGAAGGTGTAGGCTAAAACTTTCTTTTATTCAGATTGTACTATTTAGTTCCAAAATAAATTGTGTTTGACTGCTTGGTGAAGAAATGCTTCCCCTGCACTGATTCATTCAGTAACAACCTCGAAACATTAATGTCACTCATTAGGCAAAGCTGGGACTATGCAGCCAGGCCTTCTGGCCTCCCTCTCCTGAGTTTTTCTGTTTCCTGACCTCATTTTCAGGCTGACCCTCTCTCCATAATGGGGAAGAGGCCAGTGTCCCGTCCCACCCCACCCCACCCCACCCTTGCCAAAGCACACATCCTTAAAGTCTCCAATCCAAAAAGAAGAAAGATAACCTCCTTTTCTGGGGTCCACTAATCAGATCCCACAAAAGGACTCTTGTCTGCTCTGGAACATCTGCCCTTGAATTGGACCAGTCCCTGTGGGAAAAGGGGCAGGACCCCATGGTCTTGGCCAGGGCTGGGTATTATGCACTGTATTTGGTGATGCATGCCAGAATCACCTTGGTTGAGTGGTGGGCCTTATCCTAAAAGGAAAGGATTCAGAGCAAACTGAAACAGTAGGTGTTGACTTCAGAAGGCAAGACTGAATATTATGAAATACTTGAAATCAAGTTTAGAATCACAGTGATTTTATTCCAGTCACATAATACAGTAGAGCCAGATATGAATCCTAGTTTCCAGTTTTATTTTCAGGATTGAAGAATGATGGAAGAGCCATTGCTTCTTCATAGGTCTGCAGTTCACTGGAGTTAGAGCAATCAAGGTATTCTGTAGCCCTTTGCTTTCTTAAAGGTTCACCTAAAGTGAAAATTCTACATCTGCACTGGTCCTTGTTGCAGAACATCACTGAGGTCTATTTTATATATTATTCATTGGGAAAGAGAAAATGATAGATTTTTTTCAATAATTTGTATATTAAGTGCCACAACTTTTATTAAAAGTTAAGTTTGTTAAGAAACTCAAATTATGTTATAGAGCCCTATCTTTTCTTAGTTACAGCTTTTTTGAGAGCTTCATTGGGAGAAATTCAAATACCTTAAAATTCACTCTTAAAGTAAAAATTCAGTTTTTTTCTCTTAGTAGTCACAGTCATGAAACCATCACCACTGTCCAATTCCAGAGCATTTATATCACTCCAGAGAGAAGCCCTATCTCCATTAGCAGGTAGTCCCGTCTCTCCTTGGGTACCCCAGTTCCTAGCAACCACTTATACATTTTCTGTCTATAGATTCACTTATTCTAGACATTTCATAAACTTAGAATTATGTAATATGTGATCTTTTGTGACTGGATTCTTTCTCCATGTTTTCAAGGTTTATCTATATGTAATATCTATCTGTACTTCATTTCTTTTTATTGCTGAATAATATTCCATAGTATAACTATACCACATTTTATTTAACCATTTATCAGTTGATAATTTTTGGGTTGTTTGTACTTTGGGGCTATTATGACTAATGATATGAACATTCATGAATGAATTTTACGTGGACATGTTTTATTTCTGTGTCATATGATAACTCCAGCTTTAACTGATGAACTGCCAAACTTTCCACCACAGTGGCTACATCATTTTGCATCCCCACCAGCAATGTATGAGGATTGCAGCTTCTCCATATCACCAGCAGTTGTTATTTTTCATATTTTTGTTTGTTTTTTATATTATAACTATTTTTAAGTCTTTTGTTTTTTGAAAATTGTTTTGGAGTATAGTTGATTTACAATGTGGCGTTAGTTTCAGGTATACGATAAAATGAATCAGCTGTGAGTGTGTGTGTGTATTTCCCTTTTGTAGGTTTCTTTTTCCGTACATGCCATTACAGAGTATTGAGTTCCCTGTGCTGTGCAGTAGGTCCTTCGTATCTGTTTTATATGTTGTAGTGTGTATATGTGCATCCTACTCTCCCAGTTTCTTCCCTCCCCACTTACTCCCTGGTAACCATAAATTTGTTTTCTACGTCTACAACTTTCTTTTTTTAAAGATAAGTTCATTTGTATCATTTAAGATACCACATATAAGTGTTATAGCACTGTTTGTCTGTCTCACTTCACTCAGTATGACAATTTCTAGGACCATCCATGTTGCTGCAAATGGCATAATTCTGTTCTTTTTCTTTGGCTGAGTAATATTCTATTGTATATATGTATCACATCTTTATCCACACTCTGTTGCTGGACATTTAGGACACTTCCATGTCTTGCCTATTGTAAATAGCATTGCAGTGAATATTGGAGTGCTTGTATATTTTTGAATTATGATTTTCTCCAGATATATGCCCAGGAGTGGGATTGCTAGGTTATATGGTTGCTGGTGGTGGTTTAGTTGCTAAGTCGTGTCCAACTCTTGCTTACCTTCTGTCCATGGGATTCTCCAGGCAAGAATACTGGAGTGGGTTGCCGTTTCCTTCTCCAGGGGTTCTTCCTGACCCAGAAATAGAACCCAGGTCTCCTGCATCAAACAGGCAGATTCTTTACCAACTGAGCTACAAGGGAAGCCCTGCTATTTTCGGTTTTTAAAGGAATCTCCAATTCCTTTAAAATAGTAGCTGTACCAATTTACTTTCCCATCAACAGTGTAGGAGGGTTCCCTTTTTTTCACACCTCCTCCAGTATTGATTGTTTCTGGATGGTCATTTTGACTGGTATGAGGTGATACCTCTTTGTAGTTTTGATTTCATTTCTCTAATAATTAGTGATTGTTAAGCATCTTTTCATGTGCTTTTTAGCCATCTGTCTTCTTAAAAGAAATGTTTATTTAGATCTTATGTGCTGTTTTTTTTTTTTTTTAACTGAGTTGCTTGCTTTTTTGATATTGAGCTGTTTGTACATTTTGGAGATTAATCTCTTGTTGGTTCCTTCATTTGCAAATGTTTTCTTCCATTTTGAGAGTTATCTTTTCATTTTGTTTATGGTTTCATTTGCTATACAAAAACTTTTAATTAGGTCCCTTTTCTTTATTTTTATTTTCATTACTCTAGGAAGTGGATTGAAAAAGATCTTACTGTAATTAATGTCAGAGTGTTCTGCCTATGTTTTTCTCTAGGAGATTTTTAGTATCTGGCCTTGCATTTAGGTCTTTAACACATTTTGAGTATTTTTGTCTATGGTGTTCGTTCTTTTACATTTGCTATCCAGTTTGCCCAGAACCACTTAATGAAGAGACTGTCTTTTCTCCATTGTGTATTGTTGCCTCCTTTGTCATAGATTAGGTAGCCATAGGTATATGGGTTTATCTCTGGACTTTCTACCTGTTCCCTTGACCTATATTCTGTTTTTATTGCCAGTACCATACTATTTTGACTGCTCTAGCTTTGTAGTCCTAAGTCAGGGGCCTGATTGCTCCAGCTCCGTTTTTCTTTCTCAAGATTACTTTGGTTATTCATGGTCTTTCGTGTTTCCATACAAATTGTAAAATATTTTGTAATTCTGTGGAAAATGCCATTGTTAATTTCATAGGGTTTACATGCAATCTGTAGATTGCTTTGGGTAGTGTCATCATTTTCATAACATTGATTCTTCCAGTCCAAGAACATGGTATATCTCTCCATCTGTTTGTATCATCTTTCATTTCTTTCATCAGTATCTTACAGTTTTCTGAGTACAGATCCTCTGCCTCCTTAGGTAGGTGTTTTATTCTTTTTGATGTGATGGTAAATGGGATTGTTTCCTTGATTTCTCTTTCAGGTCTTTTGTTATTAATGTATGGGGATGCCAGATATTTCTGTTAATTAATCTTGTATCCTCCCAGTTTACCAAATTCACTGAAGAGCTCGAGTGGTTTTCTGGTAGCATCTTTAGGATTTTCTGTGTATAGTATCATGTTATCTGGAAAGAGTGAATTTTACTTCTTTTCCAATTTGGATTCCTTTTATTTCTTTTTCTTCTCTGATTGCCATGGCTAGGACTTCCAAAATTATGTTGAATAAAAGTGGTGAGAGTGGACATACTTGTCTTGTTCCTGATCATAGAAGAGATGCTTTCAGTTTTTCACTGTTGAGAATGCTGTGGGTTTGTTGTATATAGTCTTTATTATGTTGAGGTAGGTTCCCTCTATCGGAGAAAGCAATGGCAACCCACTCCAGTACTCTTGGCTGGAAAATCCCATGGATGGAGGAGCCTGGTAGGCTGCAGTCCATGGGGTCGCGAAGAGTTGGACTTGACTGAGCGACTTCACTTTCACTTTTCCCTTTCACGCCTTGGAGAAGGAAATGGCAACCCACTCCAGTGTTCTTGCCTGGAGAATCCCAGGGACAGGGGAGCCTGGTGGGCTGCTGTCTGGGGTCGCACAGAGTCGGACACAACTGAAGCGACTTAGCAGCAGCAGCAGGTTCCCTCTATGCCCCCTTTCTAGAGAATTTTTATCATAAATAGGTGTTGAATTCTGTCAAAAGCTTTTTCTGAACCTATTGAAATGATCATATGGTTTTTATTCTTCAATTTCTTGATGTTGTATCTCACTGATTGATTTCCAGATATTGAAAACTCTTTGCATCACAGGTATAAATTCCACTTGATCATAGTGTATGATCCTTTTAATGTGTTTTTAGATTCAATATGATCATGTTCTGTTGAGGACTTTTGCTTCTATGTTCATCAGT